ATTACTCCATTACTTCACCCCTCACTCGGTTGCATTGAACTAATACTGGCTTCCAGAGACTTGTGCAGTAACTGCTTGGAGTCTGCTAGCAGTTGCACTTCTATTTCAGTGCACTGAGCTCCGAAACTGCAACTGACCTCTGCCAGCAAACACAAAACTGGATGGATTGAAACCAGAGAGTGTTCTTAGTCTCCAGCCATCTACATCACACTGTTGCTTACTCTGGTTTCTTAACCTGACCTTTAAGGTTTTCTGAATGTGCTTGAAAATAATTTAGTTCTAACTGACTCTGAACTGCTATTAGTGCAAACTTTGCAAATACCATCTCTCCAATTAAGTCAGTCAGCTCTTGTTTTTATAGCTCAAGGAGTTTAAATACAATTTAACACATTTTCTATTGTTAAACTTCAATTCCTAAAACTTGTGTTCCTAAAACACATGAACCATTATGTTCACATGGAACTCTGTACCAGTAGCCATCCTAAAATAGACAAATTTACTCTACCGGGAAACTGTAAACCTTGAGTTGACCACAACTTTAAAATCTAGAAGTGTGCCATCACTGAAGGAGGATTGGGAAATCAAATGCCAGTGGTCTTCACTGACTTCATCATCATAAATGCACTAAATGAACATGGGCTCACAAACACATTCTTTTGTCAGAAAGATACAAGAAGATTGGAAACATTTCTGATCCAAGCATTGACACTTGCTGGGCTATGTCATTATTGCCCAAGAAAAAAAGCCTGTGTATGAGGACCATACCATTTGGGACTGCTGGAGATATCACTTAACTGTTGCGGTCTGTTCAGGGAGCTTATTCATGACTAATTGTCACAAAGGCTGACTACTGATTTTCAATTTTGGGAATTTTTTTCATCCTCAGAAAGCTGGGACCTAAGGCAATGGCGATCCTCCATTGTTTCCACAGCTTATAATATTTCAATGACTGTGTGGCGGTCCATGCTTCAAGCAATATTCTGACACCCTTAGTTCTTTCAACTCAATGTAAAAAAGGATTGACATCTATTTCAACATCACTCCTACAGTTTGTTATTGGTGGAGAAACTGAGCCCTAGTTCAAGACTGTCTCCCACTCAGGACAACCTTTATCCTCTCTGCTCAAAGATCATAATTGATATCTCTGTTAACTGAGGAGAGATGCACAGCATGTAACCAGGTTACTGTAATTGTTCTGAGGAACGAACAGTCACTGTAACTGTTTGGAATGACTAGCAGATGGCAGGGAAAAGCTGCATGGACAGACAGAATTGACAACCAAACCCTAACCGGTGCTGCTAGCACAGAGGTCCCTGCTTACTGAACTTTGACCTGTTGGTTAACCTTGCAGCTCTGTTCCTTGAAGTTTAAACTAAGCCGTGCCAAAATGCAGTGAATGTATCTATCAGTGGCTCCAGCAAGTGAGATCCTACCGGAAACATAACTGGTTTGTTTCTTTGTCTGATATAGTTGCAGAATTATTGAACAAAGCTGTAAAAGACATTGCAGGAAGCATGGTATTCTAAACAGTGCCAGCTGGTGGCAGCACAAGGAGGGTTGATATCTCATCTCATCATTGCACAGTAACAACCTGAATATGACCCCATCACAGCATCCTGCTGTTCCCCAATTTTCCAGTATCTGACCTCTATTGCAATCTCTGCCTCTTTCCTTGCTTCCTGCTGCCAATAGGAATAAGTAAACTTGTTACAATATCCTATTTTAAAAGTGCAAAGCTGTTGGTGCAAGCAGTCCATCATAATCCAACATATGCAGTGCAGTGGGTACTTTTCAGCTGAGCTTTACACTGTTTCTAAATGCAGTATGTACCTTAGGAGCTTTCCATGAGGACAGTGTAAACACAGCTTTACTCTCTATGTAACCCATGCCGTTTGACAGGGAGTGTTTGATAGGGACAGTGTGAGGAGAGCTTGTAGTTTAAAAGAACAAGAGAGAGCTTTACTCTGAATGTAAGCCCGTGCTGCCCATGTCCTTGGAGTGTTTGATGGGGACAATGTTAAGGCAGCTTTACTTTCCACTGATTTCCAGTTTAAAAGAGTAGAGGGAAGTTTACTCGCATTTTAAAATAGTTGAGGCAACTTTACTCTCTGTCTAACCCCATGTTATCCTGTCCTGTGTATTTTCTTGATCAGGACAGTGTTGAGAGAGCTTTACTTCCTGTTTTAAAACAGTGCTGTACCTGTCCTGGGATTGTTTAATGGGGACAACATCAAGTCGGCTATACTTTCAATTTAAAAAGTGTAGAGGGAGATTTACTTTCAGTTCAAAAGAGTAGTGGGGACTGTACATTATAACAAACGTGTTACACTTTCCTCTGTACACAGATTCCCACTTTTAGTTCCACTAAATATTTCATCATATTGGAACTAATATCAAAGAACACCAGCTGTTATTTGTAAGAATTGTTGTGTGAATATTATTCCTATTATTTAATTATGATAAACAACTGGTGCTGGGAGAGTGAGATAATCACGTCGAGTTGAGATATTGAGCTGTGATCCAGTTCCATACAAGCCTCCTCTTACAAATTCCACATGGCACTTGCAGCAGCCTCTGCTGAGTATCCACATTGGGTTCCTCAGTCACTCTCCACTCAAAACATTACCCTACTTCCCTCTCTGTAATGTTTGAAGGAGTGCAAGGAATGAGTCAGGATTTGGCAGTGACATTTGTTTGCTCTTACAGATTTGCAGCCTAATGAGAGGTGGGATTGCAGAGCGTGGTGGAGTTAGAGTGGGTCACCGTATCATTGAAATCAATGGGCAAAGTGTCGTGGCTACTGCCCATGAAAAAATTGTTCAAGCTCTGTCTAACTCAGTGGGTGAGGTAAGATCCTTGATGCAAAGAGCTTCTTTCTCTCTTTATTAACATTTTACCAACAGATTAACAGAAAATAGTCTAAAACACTAACGGCTTCTGAGTTTAAAGGACTAGAATATGTGGAGGTAGAAGTCATGTACATTAACACACAGCCCTGAAATTACTGTGAGCAGTTCTAGGAACGACCCCTTCGGAAAGATGCTAAAACAAGAACCAAAAGAACTGCAGATGCTGTAAATCAGAAACACAAACAGAAATTGCTGGAAAAGCTCAGCAGGTCTGGCATCTGTGGAGCGAAATGAGAGTTAATGTTTCAGGACTGGTGACCTTTCTCAGAACTGCCTCGGATTTCTCTCCACAGATACTGCCAGACCTGCTGTGCTTCTCCAGCAATTTCTGTTTGTGTGCCTTTGGAAAAATGCATTGACCTGAATTTACCAGGATGATACTGAAATTAGAGTGCTAAAGAAGATGAAGAAAGATTATATAAAGTAGAATTGCATTTCCTGGAGTTTAGACAGTTATGGTTGCTTTGATCAAAGTTTTTAAGATATTAAGGACAGCAGATCCTGTAGAAAGTGGAATGATTACAGAATCTAGAGAACATACTACAAACATCAGAGCCATTGAATTATCTAAGTGATCAAAGAGAATAAGTGGTTCTCCTGTATTTTCTTAGAAAGTGCAGTTTCATGAAATCAGTAGGTCTGAGCCCTGAAATTATTTCAGGTTACAATGTAAATGCTCCCTATCCTCTTTATTTTGTTTGAATTATCAGCTATTAGAAATCTTGTTTTACATTTAAAACAATCTTAAAATACTGAGTTCTGCTCAGCCTGAAGCCAGAAAGATCATTACAGCTTTCTTGACGCACTTAGTTTCCGAATGATCAAAAGCACTGTTTACTTATTTGACGTTGTTTTCAAGGCGACACGTTTTAACCGATGGGTAAACAAATACATGGTGATATTTCCATCGCTAATGAATCAACAACAAATCACAAACAATGTCATGAGGGATCCATTCCTGTTTAAACTGCACATCATCAAGCTTCAGCTGTCACTCTGTCTAGTTGCTGCACTCAATAGGTATATGTGCTTTGTAAAAAGCTGGAATTTTTAATTGCTGAATTTTTAATAATTTTAGATTCATATGAAGACAATGCCAGCTGCCATGTTTAGACTCCTAACTGGACAAGAAACACCATTGTACATCTAACTTTGTGAAGAAATGGGTTCATCTGCTCAATGGACTTCCAGCAGATAAGCTGAATGTTTTCTGCTGGGAAGAGGTGATCAGTGGAATGAAGACAGTGTCAGTGCCTCCCATATTGCATGGGTGTGTGCATGTCGGTTTTCTTTTTTGTGAGTGTGAGTGCATGTGTATATATGAGAGAGAGTTTATGTCTGTGTGCGCACATATCTGTGTCTCTGGGAATGTGTGTCTTTCTGCTCTGTCGCTCCACACTAGACTGTGCACCATTTCCATTGAGAGAAGAAATGGCTCTTCCTCTGCTCTGAACACAAACATATTGCATTTTATAAAAGTTGAACCAAGTTCTTTCACAAGTTAGTGACAATGTCACTTTAACATGATGTTGGTGTGGAATAAATAATTGAATGTCCAGTGCTGAATGTCAGATAAAGACAGCCATTGTTGCAATTAGTAACAAGTATACAGAGAAACCTCTGACAGTGCAGCTCGCAGTGACACCCACTGCTTTGAACTTTCTTACCAGTGTTTTCTTTGTGCATTTAGCCCTGTTGGAATGTAACAGATTAGTTCTGTTATAGTTGATGAACAACAGTTACTTGCCTAGCCTGTGTTTGTGCAGCGCGCGTGTTGTGTTGCTGGTGAGTGAGCTGTTAATATTAGAGTCTTTGTGTTTGTATCTTGAAATGCTGTACCTAGCACTAGAGGCTAAATGTTAGTTTGTCTTTTTCCCATCATGTTACTCCAGTTGGAGATGAGTTGGTGCAGCTGCAGATCCTGCGATGTTTTATTGGCTATTGTATGAATTTGCAGCTAGAATACAGAATGTGAAATAAAACAGTGTGAACAGCTGTGGATCGCTGAAGAAGAGAATGGGAAGAAAATCCAGACTTGTTCTTGTCTTTTTCATTAAAGTAGGTGATACTTGAACTGGGCTGGGTGTGATACAATACTATTGTTTTGTTTTATCTGTGCCTCTTCCAAAATATTCCAGATGCTGAAATAAAAATTGAAGGTGCTGGAAAATTTCAGCCGGTCTGGTAGTATCTTTGGAGAGAGAAACAGAGTTAAAGTTTTGATACCAATGACCATTCTGTGGAACTGCACAGAGGTACAGACGTGGGGCTAAAAATGGTAATGGTACCAATTTATTTTCTGGACCATACAAAAAGTTTGTCTTTAATCCATAGGATTCAATACAATTTACAAAGAAATACAGAAAAATAAATGTGGCAATTTAATATTTTAGTCAAAATCTGAAAAACCAGATGCTTAATTCAGCCCTCCTTAGATTAATGATGCTGAATATCAAATATCAAAAACCTAAACACGGCCAGGGGTCCTCACCGGAGATATTTCATTTTCATTCAATATCAGGTGGCTATCTGGAGGACAGTTAATATATTAATATTGAACACATCTTAAAATAGCAATATTGCAGTTGTTCAATGATTAGTGAATGAGCATCAATCACTAAGAGTGATATTTTGTTCTTTTGCGATTTTGAACACAAGTAGTCGTCATTGGGCAGTGCCTGGTTCTGGTCTCCTCGTCCACAGGTCTGCATTCACAGATGAAAGGAGATAGCACCAGAGAACTGATACAGTCTATTAGGCTGTAGGAGGATCAACTCCCTGGATCCTGTGAACCATTGGTTTATTTAACCTCGTGGAGTAGATTGATTAAACTCTTTGTGAGCTTTGCCACACAAACAAGATGACAGGAACAAATATTTAAACTTTATCATGCATTTTAAATCCAGTAGCGTGCTAACTGAAGGGCTATTGGTCACAGTTTAAGAATAACTCCACTTCAGCATTTTCATTGTCTCAAATGGTCCTCAAATAGCTGAACAATCAGTGAAATAACTTGAATTGCTGCAAGTTGGAGCAAGTGCAGTCCTCAAATTATGGCAAGTTACTGGGGATTATTCAGTACCAGGCCCAGACAGTAAAATCATCTTAACCTCATAATTTACAATCAGTCAGCAGCAATAAATTATAAATACTCATATCAAAACACTGCAAATGATCAGCATACATCCCATTGTAGACAACAGCCATGGCAACGATCACCCAATATTTTCAAACTTCTTCCAGCTTTCACGATTATATGGAATATTTTGAAAAAGCCAAGTCTCCTCTTCAAAGAGGATATCTGTCTCTTTATATATAGCATAGAACTATAGAATCCCTACAGTGTGGAAGCAGGCCATTCCACCCATTAGGTCCACACCGACCCTCCAAACAGTATTCCACCCAGACTCACCCTATCCCTGTAACCCTGCATTTCCCATGGCCAATCCACCTAACCTGCACATCTTTGCACTGTAGAAAGAAATTGGAGCACCCGGAGGAAACCCACACAAACACAGGGAGAACGAGCAAACTCCACACAGACTGTCACCTGAAGCTGGAATTGAACCTGGGTCCCTGGTGCTGTGAGGCAGCAGTGCTAACTACTGAGCCACTGTGCCACCCTAAGGGCGGGGTGATGTCTAGCTCCAAGTTTGAATGCAGACCAATCTGTTCCTTGCCTGTCCACATTCTTTTCATCTGAAATGGCACAATCCACAGCAGGTGTCACAGAACTGTCTCTCTGCACACATCTGTCAAACTATGCAGCCGCTCATGTTCAAATCTGTGGTCTAATTGGACAGTCTGTACTGAAGCTGTTGGTGAGCTGACATCACCACAGCTATGAAGGTGAAGGTCCTCCTGTAATTGCAAATTTATCACATTCATTGGCCGTTGAGAAGTTGTCATCACCTGCCAGGGATAAGAAAACAGAATCATTTGAATGTTGTCAGTGGGATGAGGGGTCCACACTTCCATCTTGTCCTAGTTTTAACATGGACACGTCTATTCAGCTATATGTGGAAAGAGGGACATCACCCCATGGGGAAGCAGCAGCAGACAAACCTCTACATTGAGGCAACTCCACTATAATCTGCAGGTTCCTAAACATTACTGAAAAGTTCATAAAATTATTACAATAAGGGCTGAGCAAGGTGATATGAACTCAATCTGGCCTGGAACAAGATGCAGGAGCATCACCTACCTGGTCAATGATGTTGGCACTATAAATAGCTTCCTCCATGTGCTGCTCATCTAACCTGATGACAGACCGGATGCTGTTGATCACATGTTGTACTTCAGGAGCAAAGTTGCAGTTGGAATGCTGCAAGAATTTGGCCACCAATATTTTTGTGTCCTTATAGGCTTTCAGGTCAACAAGAGAGTGCGGTCGCTCCCTAGAGACCTCCCGCAGTGCTTGCTGTTTTCGATGCCCATCCATCTTCCCCATGTAACTGTGCTGGTTGATTGACCGGAAATGTTTGGCAAGATGGCTTGAAGCGACAAAATGAAGTTCATGATAATGAGCTGAGGCATAAGGGCAAACAGTTAATAAAACAGAGCTTCGAAGGCCAGATGCAAAAGCAATTAACCTGAAAATATTAACCCTGGACAGAATCTGGAAAAGCAAGGTCACTACTTGAGGCAGAATATTCCTCGAGAAAGCAGAAGCCCTGGTGCAACAATTTATACTCATTGTGACCATTGTTACCTATTTGCTCTGTGTGACAAGGCCTTAATTATCATGTATGGAACTTGGTGTGGGAGGTCATGCTGGACTGCCTCAAAGTCACTAGGCTCATCTATGCAGCCCCCTTGAGGCACAGAGCTGAAAAACATTCATGGTTGAGCCATGTTAGCACCCTATAGGACGTGTTTACTCTCTCTACTTCACAGTGCGCAACCCTCCAAAGTGGTGGCAGCTCTCCAGGCATTTGGGGTTTAATTTGTAATCTGAAGGAGGAATATGGTCTACAGACACTCATTAAGTACCTCTCACACAAAAATACATCAACAATACTCTATTCCCATACACCTGCTCAATTTCTCAAAGTTACTAAAATAAAACTGTGCAGGAATTTGAATAGTTCTGTTAAATTTCCCCTTAACTTTCTCAACTCGAAGGGGAACTTTTACTGGGCTTGTACTCACTGGAATTTAGAAGAATGCAGGAGGTTCTCATAGAAACATACAAATTCTTGATGAAACTGGACAGGCTAGATGTGGCAACAATGTTCTTGATGTTGAGGAAGTCCAGAACTTCTTCACTCGGAGAATTGTGAACCTGTGGAATTCTCAACCACAGCAAGCTGTTGGGGCTAAAGGAATCAAGAGGTATGGAGAGAAAGTGGGAATAGGATACTGAAACTGTACGATCAGCCACGATAATATTGAATGGTGGTGCAGGCTCGAAGGGCTGAATGGCCTGCTGCAGCACCTATTTTCCATGTAACTTAATGAGCTTGTTCAAAGAACCAGGACTGTTTTCTGCTTTTTTATTCTATGATTGTAAACCACAGAGAAGATTGCCTTCAGGCTAGGAATCTGAATGCTTATCCATGTTGTATGAAGCATGTGAATTAGGCAGGGTTATGCAAAGACAGTTCTCACTTTGAACACAAAGTCACACATTAATGAACATATACATAATCCAACAAATTCCACTGGCCCTGGGAGTGTTTAACAGTGCAGAGGAACATTTACCCTGTATCTAACCTTCTGCTGTACTTGTTCTGAGAGTGTTTGATGGGGACTGTGTAGATGGAGCTTTACTCTGTAACTGAACATGTGCTCCAACTGTCCTGGGAGCGTTCGATAGGACAGTGTGGAAAAAGCTTTACGTTCAGTTTAAAAGAGTAAAGGGAGCTTTACACTGTATTTAAACTGGTGCTGTCCCTATCTTGGGACTGCTTGATGTGAACAGTGTAGACAGCGCTTTACTTTCAGTTTAAAATATCTTTACTCAATATCTAATGATGTGCCTGTCACGGGAGTAGGTGACAGTGCACAAGGAATTTTACTCTGTATTCAACCTATACTGTACTTAACCTGGAAGTGCAAAAGATAAAAGGGTATATTTGTCAGAGGGATATAATAGAGTGTCTGACATTTTAACTTCTAAAATTCTTATATGGTCAGCAAATGCAACCCTTACTGACTTTCACCTGCGGCAGCCTGCTCGACTCTGCCACCTCTTCGATAAACTCCAATAAATTGGACACAATTTTCTCTTCATAAATCCACAATGACTCTTTTTCAAGTTTTTCATATTTTGATGCTCCTCTGCACTGTCAAACACTCCTAGGGCCAGTGGAATGTGTTGGACTATGTATATGTTCATATATTGTCCATATTTTTCCATGCAATTATTAATCCAGTCCTGAACAATTGTTGCTGGTAGTTTCTCCACACTGAAGTTAAACTGACTAGATTGTAATTGTTAGGTCTCATAGATAAACAGAGTCATGACTCTTGCCTCCATATGCAAATCTCCTTCTTGATTTCTAATCTGCCCTACCACCCTCTCCCCTTATGAAAGGCTTCAGGATTTGCTTGTATGTTAACTATCACTCTTCTTCATTGTGTTTCCTTTTTCACTTCCTTTTGAACCTTCTGCTTTCAGTTTGGTTCTCAATTGTATCTACAGTAAACTTTTTTCAGCTGGCACCTTATGAACTGGCACTCTTGATAAACTGGCAAAACTTCTATTCCTCAAAATACCAGAAGTTTACTATATTATTGCGATCTCCGCAATGTCCAAGTAGTCAGTTGAGGGGGTGAGTAAGAAGGCTGTCTGCTAAATTTTATTTAAGGCAAAGTTGATTATTAAAGTGATTTACGCTGTAAACAAAGTATAACAGCGATGTGTATATTCCCTGCGTTACATTTCTAGTACTTAGTGTGTGGGTTTGTACGTTAATTATGCAGACCTATTGCTCAACTGTTGATCAACCAGTACACTCCTGGTCCCAGAGGAGTCGGTTAATAAAAGGTTTGTTCATTGTCATCTGGGGAGCTCTGGTTTGGTTTGTCCTACCTTTCCCCTTTGGAGGGAATATACTTCAGTTGTCCCCAAATCATCTTTTCTTTGAAGATAGCCTGTTGTTCAGTTACAGTTTTTCCTCAACCTTTGATTCCATTCTATCCGGTCTGGTTCTATTCTTGATGACTGTGTAAAATAGCTTGTAGTACCAGCAGCAATATTTATATCTCTCCCCAGTTTTATTCCCATCTAATTGAAATGTTTAAGATCATTAAAAGTTTGATAGGAAAATAGGAAGAAGTGAAGTCAGAAAGCACACCTTCACACAATGGATTGTGGAAATCTTGAAGCGTCTCTTCCAAAAAACTGTTGAGTCTGGGTGTCAACTGGAATTTTCAAAACTGACACTTGTTGAGTAAGGGTCTCCAGGAAAGTGGAGCAAAAGTGAGGAATCAAGTTAAAATACACAGCTATTGCTGATTGGTGGAACAGCCTTGAGAAACTGAAATGGTCTCCTCCTACTCCTGTGCTGCAAATGGCACACATTAATGGGAGGAAGAAAGCAGAAATTTTCAATATTTGGAAAGACACTAGATGTAGTTTTGATTTCACCTCATCACAAAAATCGTATGAATATTACATAGTTTGGCAATTACTACAAAATAATAGCTTTCTGGGCATATGGTACTCTGTCAATCAGCTTGAAATGGGATTACCATTAGCCTAAATCATTGAAATCTCTCCTACAAATTCACTTTCTAAAAGCCAAATGTTTACCTTCTGTAGAAGTACAGGTGGCAGGATCACTGCTGGATCGGATTATTCTGTTCCCACCAGTCTTCTTTCGAGGTGGTAGCCTGACTCTGTCAGGCACAGTGGCAGATGAGGACTGCCTGAAGACTCCACAGCATATTTTAATTTGTTTGAGTGATAAAGTGCAGGCCTGGGCTGGTGTTTGGGGAGTTTGCCCCACTGTGTTGGAACTCACTGCAGAATACTCTGACAATCTGTGCTCTCGACAGTCAATGGAGCCCAGTGACATAGCCGTTGAATTGCTTTCCTCCTCACAGGAACTTTCTGAATAAGTCCTGCGTTGCCACCCAACATCAGCCTCCAAACTGGTGCAACCACGGTCTATAGCAGTAGCAGGTATCTCGCTGTCTGCAGAGTGTACAGATTCCTGAACATCAACTGAGCAGCAATCCACAGACATGCCACTGTGTTCTGGGGTATCAGCAGATTCATACAATGTCAGCGAGGTATTGCCCACAGGCACTGAAAAGGGAAGAGGAATATTTAAACATTTACACATCTAAAACCCTATTGAAATACACCAAGAAAGAATTCTCCATCTTTCCTGATCTATGGTTTAGCACTCTGCCAACCTCGGGAACCTGCACATATTACCATTCATGCAGTGAAAGTGCAGGCTGTCAAAACCTGTTACCATTCAATCACACAGGTGTTACTGCTGCACCTGATCCTCATGTACACATGCAGTATCTCCAGGGACAGGAACCCTGGCTGATAGTGTCCCCAGTCTAGTGAAATGACTGAAGTTAACACTGGACCAAAAACAAAAATTAATGGAGAAACTCAGCAGGTCTGACAGCATTTACAGAGCGAAAGCAGAGTCAACGTTTTTGAGTTCACTGACCCTTCTTCAAAAGGGTTAGGGTCCTGAAAGACCCTTGCCTGAAGAAGCTTCACTGGACTTGAAACATTAACTCTGCTTCTCCAGCAATTTCTGTTTTTGTTTCAGATCCTCAGCATCTGCAGTTCTTTATTTCATTTTAACATCGGACCAGGCTGAGATCAGCTAATAGCACATTCCAGGCTTATAAGCTGGTTATACAACATCTTGAAACCAGTCCAACAAGTGCCATTATCTCCATGACATAAGACAAGGAACAGTCACACACTATAATTCTCAAATATCACAAGATAAATTGATTTCTTGGAAAACTCTACTGACACCACATCGGTTAACCTTTACTGTAAACATAATGTTAATGGCATGTGTTATATTTGTCCTGGTCTTTCTCCAAATTTTTGTTGTGCTCAATTTCTCCCAACTCCTCACAAATTCTCCCTCAGCTGAATTTTCTACAAAAGTATTGGATAATCTCCATACTTTGGAGCATCTTTCTAACCAAACAGCAACTTAGAAATAAAAATCCCACTTCCAAAAAGACAGTCCTCAGCTTACATGCCTTGTGTACTGAAGGAAGTGAAGATATTCCTCTCAGACAGACTGGAACTAGAATCCTGCGAAGACTCCGAGCTGTGGTGATCCAGCGTGCTCCCCTGAATGATGAAACACAAGTGTTGAGTCCCTGAGCAATGTCTTTTCATGACTGATCAGCCAGTACTGACTGAGTCATTCAGTACTACCTGGTTGGAGTTCAGTCCTATTTAAAGGAGCAGCAGCTTTTACATGAGAGGGATTGCCACATGAGGGAAGAGGATTTATAAAATGTAAAGTGCAGAGGCACTATGGAAAGTGGGTCTGAATGATATTTCTGTGTTGCCTCAAGCTGTCCTTCCTTTAAGCATTACTTATCAGCACAAACCCAGGTGGTAGCTTTGCACCAGGGGGCATCAGAGTCACAAAGGCTTCAGTCACAGGGTCAGGCTTGGTGTACTCTACTCAAAAAAACATTTTCTAATCAATCTGTTCAGAGATGTTATTACATAACTCTGGAACAGGTGGGACTTGAACATGGATCTCTTAGCTCAAAGGTAAGGATACTGCCACTGCACCAAAAGAGTCCTAAATAGTCAAGTTTCTCGATTTTCACACAATAGGCATCAGAAAGCAGTTCATGTTCTTGCTTTCCTGAGTGAGAGGCCAGTTGGTGAAGTAAGGGGCAGGATACTGGATGAAGAGAAGCTGGTAAAAAACAGTTTTCAGCACTTCTGCCTCCACGAAGGATTTCAGCATTTGGCATGAGTCCTGCTACACCAGCCTGGAGATAGAGGGTGCAGATATTCAGCAAGTTGTATGAGTCTAGTTCCATAATGTTGCCCCATTGGATGTATCAAGATCAACCTGTCTGGGAACATTTGACTAAATGCGTTTTCTGATACTAACCCATGTCTTACGTAGAAATATGAAAAAAAGGAGCAAGAGTAGACCATTCCACCAAACAAGCCTGCTCTGCCATTAAATACGATCATGACTGATCCTCTATCTAATGCCCCATAACCCATTTTCCCTGTTAGTCCATAGAAATCTAGTTCTTCTTAAGTATTTTCAATAACTTCACCTCCACAGCTTTCTGTGGTAGAGAATCCCACAGCTTCACTACCCTCTGAGCAAAGAAATTTCTCCTCATCTCAGTCCAAAATGACCGGTGTATCCTGAGACTATGACCCCCAACCAGGGGAAACATCATCCCTGTATCCAGTCTGACTGGACCTGTCAGAATCTTTCACAATGTAATGAGATCCTATCTCACTCTTCTACACTTCAGTGAATACAGACCCAGTTGACCCAATCCCTGCTCAAGCTGCCATCCCAATCACTTCGGTCAATCTTCGCTGCAGTCCCTTAATGGCAAGTATATATAACTGCTAACATCAAACTGACTACCTCAAGGGACTCTTATGTTTATAGATTTCTGTGTGGGAGATAAGTGTCTACCCCCACACCTGTTGGGTCACTAATGGATGATGCTCACTTTTTTTTTTTAAAAAGAATATTCCTATTCACAAGTTTCAATAAAATCTAGAGAGACTGATGTCAGTCAATGCAGCTTATATCAGAACTGGCTGTCATTGCGTTGATTGGGTCAAAGCTTCACAATCAATATTCATTGTCAAAGGGTCCATTAAAGTTTTGAAATGGGCATCCTGATCATGAATTACATGTGGGAGGTTCCTCAGTAATGGACAGGGAATAGCAGATTCTCTCCTTCCGAGCTAAAGGCTCGAGTTAGGCCTAGTTCAGGGCCTCATTGAGGTTAACTAGCAACAGAGACTTGGTCAAGAATACAGGACTTTGCCATTTCCAGTTTATTTTTTCAGCTGGGCCATTGAGAAATGTGCTCCCTCATTTTCAAGTTGTTCAGTAACTGGAATGGTGTAGATAAGGAGGAGGTGACAGCTAGAACGTTGCTTTCAGCAATATGTGCATCACAGTTATTCAGGAATTTGAATGTTTTATTACTTAATAGACCCAGCCACCTGGCTGACGCAACCTCTAGGATGAAGTTCCTTTGACTCATTTCATCTCCACAAGCTTAAAACAATGGAATATAATGGTATAAATTAATAACATCCTACTAACACTAACTATTTAGTTCAACTTTTGAATACTTTGGTGAGAAACAGTATGAATGCTGGTGCCCATGGAACCATTTCCTAGCATGAGGCTGTATCCTCAGAAGCCTCATGAAGTCTTTAAGTAGAGTTGAACACTGATTGATACTCTGTCCCAAACTGGTGAAAGACAGTTTAATCTTACAGCCAAAGCAGAGTTCAAGCTTTTCTGCCTCACCTGATTAGTAGAGGTTTGTCCAACCACAGCTTCATATGGGGGAGGCAGCTCTGCTGGGTAGAGGCAGCTGGGGCTGTTAATGGCCACACTGTACATAGTGCTGAAGGGTGAGTGAGGGAAGTCCAGGTGCAGGTTTCTGAAAAATAACATGAAATTTTGTGACCCAGCGACAACATACATTTCATTGAGCTCCACACGACACATAAGCTGGTGGAGTCACGGTACCAAACAGGAAGGAAGTTACTGGCAATGACGAAGTGATGAGAAGTAGCAAAATGAACTGATTCGTCCTGCATGTAGGAAGATGTGGACAATATGCAGGTTTAAGTGGTAAGAAACATATGCATACACACACACACGCACGCTGGACAACGACTATCTCCAAAAAGAAAGAAGCTAACTCTGCCCTCGATATTCAATGCCATTAGCATTGCTGAATCCCTATCAACAAGCATTAACACTGAGCAGAAACTCACACAGTCAAGTCACATTAAAAAAGTGGCTAAAAGAGCAGGTCAGAGGCCGAGAATCCAGTGAGTAATTCATCTCCTGACTTTCCAAAGCTTGACCACCATCTACAAGGCACAAGTCAGTGGTGTGATGGAATACTCCCTAGTTGCCTTAATGATTGCAGCTCCAACAACAGTCGAGGAGCTTGGATGAAGTAGTCCTCTTGATTGTCATCCCATCCACTCTTAAACAGTCACACGCTTCACCAACAATGCACAGTAGAAAACAACTTGTACCACGTGCAAAGAGGCAGTGAAGCAACTTGTCCAAGTGTCCTCCAACCACATAATTCAACAATCTGTGACCTCCGTCACCAGAATGACAATGGCTTTAGGCACATGGGAAATTACCCATGATCCTGATTTGAAACAATATTGCTATTTCTTCATTATTTGTGGGTCAAAATCTGGGATTCTTCCTCTTAACAGCACCGTGGAGCGCCTTCACCACGTGGACTGCAACAGTTCGAGAAGGCAGCTCACAACCATGTAAGTGATGGCCTTGCCAATGACATTCTCACTCCATGACTAAATTTAAAAAGCACTGTGTATGGAGACTAGGAGAGAATTCCCGAGACATTGTGACTGAAAGATCAGCGTGTGCTGGTCGAGCAGAGGGAAAAGGCACGACTGCAACTGAGAATTAGGTGGGTCAAACAGACAATCAGAGATGCAAGGCTAGAGATGATTACTCACCCTGGGTGTAGCTCAACTCTGGAGGGATTTAAAGTGGAGAAAATGTACTTTGATTCCCTGGATCACTGCGAGTCATTTGGGGAGGACAGGCAGATGATACCATGAACCTGTCAGATTGTTGTGAAAATCCATCTGGTTTACAAGTGCCCTTTAGGGAAGCAAATCTGTTGTCCTTACTAAGGAAGGCCTACATGTGACTCCAGTCCCACAGCAATGTGGCTGACTCTTAATTTTTCTCTGAAGTGGCTGAGCAAGCCACATCTCAGATTAGGTATGGCAATAATTGCTGACCTTCCCAATGAGAATTAATAAGAAAAATAAACAAATTTTTGGAGTACAGTAGAAAAATGTGCAGACATTTCCTCGTGGGGTAATCTGAGGTCATAGTTTTAAGCTAAGGGAAACCAGATTTAAAGTAGACAGGAGGAGTAGCACACAGCGGTTGTAAATCTGTGGAATTCATTCATCTATGGCTGCTGGGATGTTGAGAAAATTTGAGGAAATAATCCTTTTAATGCATTATGAATTAAAAGGATTATGGGGAATGTGCAGGAAAGTGGAGTTGAGAACGAGATGAGTTCAGCCATGATCGTATTGTATGGTGGAACGGGTTCGAGGGGCTGAACAGCCTATTCCTGCTCCTAGTTCTTATGTTCTTAAAAAGATCAGCAAAGGTACCTGGTGCTGGTGACTATCCAGTGACTCCTGCTGGTCTAGCTTGTCTGAGATACTGATGATATTCCCTATCTATGCCTACTAATTCCAGCAACAGGTTGCATCTTCAGGGTAGGAGGGAATACTAGAAACAAGCTGCAGCTGGCAGAATAAGAATAAGAGGACTCACCTCTGGGTCTCAACTCCTGGGCTACAGGTATATTCTGGAGGATAGTATGGAGGAGGTGGTATAGGAGGGATGAACTCGTCAAAATCCAGCGGTTGCTGCAGAACTGTACCATGGGGTGACACGCACTCAGGATTTGGAATTCTCAGTCTCTGTGGAATAAGCTATCAGGAAGGCCACATGAACAGCACAATAATGGAAAAGGACAGAGCTGTCTCACAGAGAGACATGTTTGGGACTGAAATTATAATGAGAGCAGTTTCTTGATTACAGAGCCTGTAATTCACCGATTACATCCTGACACCCACCCACCTAGATGCCTCTCTCCACAAGATACCAGGAAGATGCATGATCTAGAGGAGAAGTCACATGCTTTTGGGTTTCCCAGTAACAATTCCGAACTACCATTAAATCTTCAAGTCAGGAAACAAATATTTCTGTTTATCTACAACCTTTTTGAGAGCAATTAGGGATTAGAAATAAATGCTGCCCTTGTCAGCAACATTCTAACACCATAAATGAATTTTAAAAAAAAAACACAGGAAATGGGGACAGGGCAATTTGTTTTTAAAATTCACTTGTGGAATGTGGGCATTACTGGCTGGCCAACATTCACTACCTATCCATAGATGCTTTTTACTATCCTGTTGCCACGGTGAGTGCTCCATGATATTCTGAATTATGGTGCAGACAATTAATTCTAAGGCTATTTATACTGTGTTATACGAGCGTGTGTGTTTGTGGGGCAGGTTTGTGGGAAGCAGTAGTTAAGTGGGATTCACATATGATACTGTGTCTGGCTTGTAATTCCATCGGATTCAAATCCATACAAGATATGCAACTAAATACTGCCTCATGATACACAGATACAAAAGGTTTATTGATTGAAACCATACATAAGAAACATTTTTGAAGTGGAGGCATCACAATGTATATTCATATAAATTAGAAGCAGAAGGAGCCCAAACTGCCACTTGATCCTGCTCCACTATTCAATAAGATCATGGCTGAACTGATTCTGCCCTCAGCTCCACTTTCCTTCCACACTAACCCTAAACTCTCTTGTACGTCTAATATCTGTGTAATTCAGCCATGAGTACACCCAATGACCCAGCCTCCACTTTTAAGACAGAAACAAAATTTCACACAGACGTTCTTCCCAAGGACTAGTTTATATTTAACAAACAAGGAGGTGAAACCTAGGACATATGAACCTTTTTTTTTGAGGAAATTATCAGGACACTGAGACATTTAACGAAAATCCGGAAATGTCCTGCCAAAACCTTGATTTTTGGTCACGCTGAGTCAACGGGCCTAGTAACTCACTGAGACTCCATCTGTTTCAGCAGAGAGCAGTTCAGCCCCACATAATATTGAGATGGAGCTGGAATCAGGCTCAATGTTACTCCAGCTTGTGCTGACTGAGGCTGGTTAGGACAGCAGTTAGAGTTAAGGTTCATACCTTGTTTTCTAGGAAAGGAAGGTAAAAAATTTGGTGACAAACCTGTACACAATACTATTTTAAATTACATCACCAGGAGGAATTTTTATTAGATGTAGTCTTGTAAGTTTAAATAAAATAAGACCCCTTTATGAAAACACTGCCTGTTAAAGCGCTGACCACCAAACAATTTGTTTTGGAGGGCAGTCACTGTTACGAAGCCCTGCATTTTAGCCAGAATCAGCACTATAAGATCGCACAAGCAGCTACTGTTGTCAGGGATGACTTGTCTGTGCTTTTTCAAATTGTACAATGGAATGTTTTATATCCATCCAAGAGGCTGGATGCGACCATAGTTTAACGTTTAATCCTAAAGACAATACCTTTGACAATGCAAGATTCCATTGCTCCTGTACTTAGAATGTTAGCCTAGCTCATGAAATTGAGCTGAAAGCACACTTTCTGATTCAGGGATGAGTGCCACTGAGTCACAACTTACACTATTCAAAACCATGTTGTGAGGAATACATACGTATAATTATGGACTATATGAAAAACTGGAAGATATGGAACTGTGTGGACAATTTCTGGATTGAAAAGGGGTTTTAACCATGTGGCTCTTGGAAATAAAATCAACAGGTCAATGTGTGCTGTGGTTTACCTGCTGTTTTCAACAAGTCAAGGACTTTTAGAGAAAAAAAATGAGTAAAGTTTTTAGGGAGATAAGGGATGGGATTTAGGGTACTTAATTACTGAAAAACCTGGCTTTGAAAGGGCTATGCAGGCCTCCATGCT